GCTAATCGGCCCATATCAGAAGTGTCGGTCGGTTGGGTAGAGATTGTAACGTAATTTCTGGATTACATTATAAATCCGGCTAATATTGTAAGATAAAAAGCACACAGGGGTAATCTTTACTGGCGCTGCAGTAAATACAAGAAAACAGTACTTAGTCGTCCGGTTTGTGTATATTTTTATAGTACTTAAGTGTATGGATGGCGCCAGTCTGGCGGGCCTCGGCTCTTCTCGCAGGTGTGTAAGTGTGAGGAGGCATAGCGTATTGTGAACGAACAATTCATAAAGTAATTGTCCGCGGACACCTGTGCGGAACCAGTGCTTACATGTATATGTATATATACGTACAGTACGGGCACTGCCCCATTGTATATTCAAAGCCTTGTCAACTTTTGAATTTTGATAAGTGAATTCAATATTTCAAAATATGTATTCATGAAAATCATAATTCTTTAAATTATTAGCTTTAATTCCATTTTAAATACCTTTTCTCCGAAAAGCAATTAACAGTTTTAAATAACTTTGTTTCGTTTTGAGATATTTGCTTTTAAAATTTAATGTTTTAAAGTTTGAAGTTGACAAAGCTTTTTGTACTTGACCAGTCTCTGTAACGTTATTGACAGACATCTACATACTGAAATCTCTATATACCGGTGATCGTGTCAATATTTTAAACTCACAAATACCCCCTCTTTAATTATAAATCTCGTAAGAATCCCTTTCTTATTTCATTTAAGGATGTTTGTTCTACATACTTAATGGTATTTTCGTCTTAGTCTGTATTTCTGTACCTAAGTATACCACCTGTCTAAACTCTACTTATCTGTATACTGTAAGGAACTATTGTTATGTTAAATGTGTATTCATGACATTGTATTGAAGTTTTAATGAGCAAATGTAAGAAGTGACACTTTAAGGATATTTGTTTGTGAGATATCAGTGATAAAAAAATAATTAAAGGTTGCAATAATTGCTTGCTTCATTATCCGTTTCGCCATGGTTTGACGTTATCTTACAAGCTATTGAGAAAAAACGAAAACATGATGCTTTGCTATGAAATTAACACATTGTGTAATTTTATTACCGTCAACCTTGAAAACGAAGAAAAGTTTTATTAGTGACAATTAATAGTTTTTTCTTCAATTTTCGTGGGAAGGTTTGGCGGTACAAGTAAATGATAAATACATCTACATATATATATATTACATGTATTAGAGTATCATTTCATTTTTAAATATAGTGTTATGAAAGCTATTTTATTTCTCTTTCTACATTAATACGTTCAGACAATTTGAGAGGCAAATATCAGGAAGTTGACAGAAACAAAAACAGGGAAGATTTTCCAGAGTTGCAGATAGATGAAGTTTTCCAGGAATTATTACGATAGCTATCGTAATATCAATGGGAAATTAAACAAAAGAAAAAAGTTTTACTTTCTTATAAAAAAAACCCAACAAGACTATACCAACATGTGAATATAATTATAATCCAAACTCAAAGTCAATAAAACTAAAGCGAAATTTGAAGATTTACAAAGAGACTTATGAAAAAGAACAAAGATAATAAGACCATGTGTTAGGTAAGAGTAGGCGTTTTCTGCTTCATTGACGACACCCGTCAAGTAAATCTGGGTCAGCCCAAGTAAATAATGTCACGTTCTCAAATAAGAACAAGGTACACTATCAACAAGCAAACTAACGAGTATCAAACACGGCCAGCTTCATAGCATACACATAAATTAGAAAATTTGTCAATGAAATCACTATGACGGCCGTAATGCTTTCCCATAATTTTCATCAACCTGCATCGTTTGAACCCTGTGTTATGTGTTTGCCAGTCAGTTGACGACATCAAACAAGAAAATCATGACATTGGGAATAGGCCCCTGAATAGCGAATCAACTACAAAATGTGAACACCACAGGTTGGGATGCAGTAATGTTGCTAGCCAGAAATGGAAACTTTACTACAGGGGAATTGAAATCATATCATTTGGTGAAAAGCTGTCCATGTTTGTTTCGTTGTATGAAAAATCGAGATAAGCAGCTGATGTATAAGGTCTTTGGTATCGGTTCGTTTTATTAGACGATCAAAAAGTAAATCAGAAGTGTTGTTTTTTAAGAGATCACACATTCTGTATTCACTTTGAAATATTCATAATAGTTCGTACTTTCATATATGAATCTGCTGTTTGTTAATAACTTTGCTGTTTCTATAAACTGTAGGTAAGTGGATATCACTTCAATGTCGTAAAGACATATACTAACAGTCAAAATTGATTAAGGGGAGACAACTCTAGCTGCATCTTTTATATATGAACAGATCGGGCTGTACTGAACCCAAAACTGGTTGTCATCTAAATGCATGTAATCTTTTTTCCCTTTTTAACGAATATGGCTACTTTTTTCTATTAACTACAATCTTTTAGCGTCTTCCCTGAACTTTTTAAAATATTTTCATCATTGTACAAAAGGGAGCCAAACAATGAACTGAAATGTTCCATCCTTCCTTATGAAGCCAATTCTCAAATTAAACTTTGAGACCTTGGTCTCCCGAGTTGATGACGCTCTTTCACAGGCTCATACTTAACAGACTGCATGGTCTCATTCTCTTTTTATTTCTTAAAGAGGTCTTTGTGTTTTATTTGTTCACATTTTACCCCGTTTCATCGATGTTAAGTTTAAATTAAGACTTTATTAACATATCGGTATATTCTTGTTTTTTTCTTTTTTGTTTTGTTTGTTGTTTTTTTTTATCTCCACTTCTCCCAAAGGTTTTCAATTGACATGTCTACATGCAATGCAATCTATAAAATTCTAATTTGCAATTCGTCGTAATCTGCATATTACGTTTTAATTTATCAAAATAGTAGCTTCAGACCATACTTATGTTCTAGACGTTCATCTTAAAATCACTCGATATTGGTAAATTATTACATTTGATAAATACATGGAACAAGTCAACTCCTTATCTACATTTAGATATTTCTTTTCCACATTTTAAATTTTCCTCAGTTTTAATTCTTTGTATCACTGACATGTTGCAGTTCACAAGTTGGTTATAATGTATCTAATTCTACATTGGTATTGCAAGGCGGTATTATGTGTTTACACAAACCTGACAGTAGTAGAGATAATATCATTTTTGTTGTTTCTTTATGCAACCTTTCAGGAATTAAGAGTTAAATGACTCTGTAACTATAGCATTCCTACCACGGATTTTATAGACACAGACATGATACATTCAACCATTACAATAGAGTGGCATAACAACAGACAACGGGCTTCCAAACAGAATATGTGTCACACTACATTATATCAATGAAAGAGTCGGCTATCTCACGGGACGCAACTTTTTGAGATTCTACAGAGGGAAGGGAGACAACTCGAATATGTTTCATCCTTGGTGGCCACCCAACGGTGTATATGATGCCTGAAGCACACAATGGGTCCTCAATTCTAGTATTCCATATTGAACACTCTTACACTTGCTAGTTGATGAATATTGAAGGAAAGTTTTAAGGTCATCATACTGATCTCATCGAGAAAAAGTAAAGGTTACAGAATGAAAACTCGTTGCGAACCTTGAATAAGCATAACATCACTTGTGAAAACAGTTAGCGAACTTTTAATTACGTTCGTATGGAGGAGGAAACGATTGATATACCCCCAGAAAAGCAGGAAGTAATCAAGTTTCTGGAATTTGGTACAATATCTTACAAGTTCTACCGCGAAATAACGACTTGTTCAGAAACCCTTTCACTCGATATTTTCCCAATCAGCAATAAACATTCTAGGCCCGGTGTAAAAATAATCTCATTATATTAATGAAAAATGGATCAGTTGAAACAAGGAATTTTTCAGGGTTCAAATTTAGTAATGATCCTTGGTTCCACTTTTAATTTTTCTGATTAGTTACAGAGTTTAAAATGTGCACATGCACTTGAAGTTCTTCTGAAATTATTGAAAAAAATAAGAAAAAATACGAAATGTATTGAATTTTGGAGCTAGTGTACCTGCCCATTTAGTTTTTTTTTTAAATATTCCTTTCGATCAATTTTTATTTTCTTCGGTTGCCTCCTAGATTTCAAAATTTAGGTCTTGGCATAAGTGACCTGTCCAAGCAGAAGGAAACAGTTGCATGGTGCAGTTTAATTAATTGATCGGCTATGCTGTATCTAATCATAAATTTTAATTGAAAGGTCTCTTTTACATGTATGACTTTTCTATAATTTTAATGATGGAGATATCTTATGCTAGCATTTATAAATATGAACGAAAATGAAGAGCAATTAAAGGTAGCCTGAAGGGTCCTTAATAACATATAGTTCTGTTTGTTTTCCCTGCTTTGAAAGAAATAATTTTAATGCTGGAGTCATGTTACGGAGGTTTTGATAATTTTGTTTTTATTTGTTCTATCTATGCTGATGATTCCTCCTTTATACAGAATATGCAAAAGTAATAAACGTTCTTTTTAAATTATCTGATATGTTTTCACAAAATACAAAGGTCATTTAATTGTGGAGCTAGCGCACTTTGTCATTAATATTTTGATGTTTCTTTCGAACACATTGGATCAGCACCTGAGGAACCTCCGAGGTTTAACATCTGGCCTTAGCACCGCTGATGAGTCGAATAAGACCCAAACAAGTGTATGATGTATGAACGTACGGGTATAAATGGTGATTAAGGAGTTTTCTTGCTATCAGAAATTATACAAAAGAGTCACACTAGCAAAGATCTGATTGATGGAATTTCCAGATATCTGTTTATGTTTATAAATGAATATGTTAGATATTAATAAATAGAAAAATATAAACAAAACAAGTCTACATGACGTATGTATGTTTATATACGTGTCCTATATATTTATAATTTCCTTTGTACGTTCTCTATTGACATTTTAACGATATATATATATATATATCTGTTTCTAACCTAGCCTAACTGGTCAGGATATATACATATCTATAAATAGACCTATAATCCATCTTCGTTACTTATCGCCTCCATAGCTCAGTTGGTTAGAGCGCCAGTCTAGTAAACTGGAGGTCGAGGGTTCCCCCTGGAGTCCCCCTGGAGCCTCCTATTTTATAAACACTTCTTGTTCCATAGAAACATAGAAAATGTATTTAGTATTTATAAACGATTTACTTAATGAGATAGGGAATTCCGACTTAGGGGCAGTAATTGTAGATTTAAATGTCAATGTTCCTACACAAGCAGATGACATCTGTCTGGTAAGTACAAGATCTACAAATCTTCAGAAAATGATATTTATATGTGAAAATTATAGTAGAAAATGTCGATTTTCTTTTTCTGGTTTAAAAAGCAAACTTGTAACTTTCACAAACCCAAATATTAGAACTTGTATTGTGTACAACCATCTTTATCTTTATGACTGTATTATGCCACAGGTTGACGAAATTACTCATGTGGATATTTTATTAAATTCTAAACGAAATTCTTTTGAGAGAACAACACGTGCGTGTAATAAATTAAGATCGGGCACGATGGCACTTACACGTTCTGGGGCTCATCCTTGTGCTCTTAACCCCCTTACAGTTGCAAAATTGATAAAAATTAAAGTGTATCCATCTGCCCTATTTGGATGTGATCTCTGAAATTTAACAAAAACTGAGATATTAATGTTGGAAAGAGCACAACATTTCATCGTTAAATCTATACAGGGGTTTGAAAAAAGAACAAGAACGGATATGTGTACATCTCTTCTTGGTTGGACCTCTATTGAGGCATATATTGACATTAATTTTTTTTAATTTTTTGGTAGATTGTGTAGAATGAATGCAATGTCGCTGGTTTATAAAATTTTTATTACAAGAATCTTTTTGTTTGAATTAGATAGACCGTACCAACAGGGATTTATTCCTGACATAGTAAGGATACTGAGAAAATAGTCATTGTATCACTATCTCAGCGACTTTGTTGAAACTGGAGTATTTCCAAAGAAATGTACTTGGAAATTTATTATGTATACTTCTGTAATGAAATATGAAGAACATAATTTAAATGAAGGTAGGAAAGATGATATTGATTTCTCAAGATTCGTTGAAATACAGGACCAGCTTAAACCTAACGTCTTATGGAAACTAGCGCTCCAGTTTCCCCAACACATGGAAAATATACAATATATAATGAAAATAGTAGTAACTATTCGAAACTTGACGACAATGGAATTATGTCATAAATGTGGGTTTCTATATCATGACCCAATAGCACATTTAGTACTACAGTGTAACTATACTTCAGAGTTGGGAGATCAACTATGGTGCTGTATAATCAATGTCAAGGATATACTGTTTAGTGTATATTTACACTCCCTATCAGACTCCGAAATGCTACATATATTGATTGGAGGAAAGGTTAACCACAATATTAGCGAAGAAGAGTTGATCGATTTTAGATTAATATCAATCACGTATGTTTACAAAATGTGCAAATATTACTATACCTAATGTATGAATCAATTATATTAATTATGTTATAAATGAAGATATATTGTATGTGTATGACATATTTACATAATTTTGTGTAAATTTGTGGGTTCCCCAACCCCTGTGTGATACTGGCCCACAAATCTATCCTTCTAGTGCATACCTTACACATTATTGTATTACACAAGTGTATTAATACTTATTTATCATTATGCTGCTGATATTGTATGTCTCAAAGTGAATCCTAATTCATATGACATACACTTGACATGTGGAATTAAAACTATAACTTACTATGTATATGTAAACTCTTCCACATATACTCTATGATAATTTATCAATTTGATGTTTCACGTCCATGTGCACCTATATATACATGTATATAATATTTATCATATATTTATACTATAAAATGTTTTCTATCCATGTTCTATACTCTCTGTACTCTTCATTTTGGAGACAATAAAGAGAATAATAGAAACATAAAAAATGTGAAAATGCATAGTTGATTAGGTACAGAATTACCATTTTTCAACAAAGGACTAGAATTCTACCGGTTGATGTACAACGAAAGTACAGATTAGCAGATGGTGCTGTTAGTGACTGATCAAGCCTACAATACGAATTATGAATTATGTCTGATATTTCATTATGTTTATAAAAGTTAGATATAATCAATAGAAAGAAATAAACAAATCGACTGGACGTATACATGTTTATATGATATATATAATCTCTATTGACTTCTTAATGATATATATCTGTTTCTGACTGAACCTAGCTAACTGATAAGGAGATATACATCTCTATAAACAGTCCTGAGGGAAACAAGTGTTTACTGAACTATAATCATCTCAGGTGACTTATCGGCTCCATAGCTCAGTTGGTTAGAGCGCCAGTCTAGTAAACTGGAGGTCGAGGGTTCGACTCCCTCTGGAGCCTCTTATTTCTTGTTCCATAGAAAAAGTGAATTACCATTTTGTAATAAATCACTAGACTCATACATGTTGGTGTCCATGAATTGTAGATAGCGCTGTGAAAGACCAGGTAAACCTATTTAAAACTCAAAACCTTGACACAAACAGAAAAGACAAGTGACCTTGTTAAAATGACCAACAGCTCTCAGGTATTGTCTAGATATTTTAATATCTGAAGACGAGCAATGCCAACGTTGTCTTGATTTTGCTAATTGTACTATCATGTGATGTAAACATAATTTATTCGCTAATACACAAATGAGATCATACCGTATTTTCCCGTAAAATGTCAGTAAGTACTATTGTTTTCTCCACTGAAATGTTAGTGATGATCACCGTCTTCTTTCGTAAAATGTTAGTGATGATCACCGTCTTCTCCCTTAAAATGTTAGTGATGATCACCGTCTTCTCCCGTAAAATGTTAGTGATGATCACCGTCTTCTCCCGTAAAATGTTAGTGATGATCACCGTCTTCTCCCGTAAAATGTTAGTGATGATCACCGTCTTCTCCCTTAAAATGTTAGTGGTGATGACCGTCTTCTCTCGTAAAATGTTAGTGATGATCACCGTCTTCTCTCGAAAAATGTTAGGGATGATCACCGTCTTCTCCCGTAAAATGTTAGTGATGATCACCGTCTTCTCTCGTAAAATGTTAGTGATGATCACTGTCTTCTCCCGTAAAATGTTAGTGATGATATTACCGTCTTCTCCCGTAAAATGTTAGTGATGATCCCCACCTTCTCCCGTAAAATGTTAGTGATGATCCCCACCTTCTCTCGTAAAATGTTAGTGATGTTCACCGTCTTCTCCCGTAAAATGTTAGTGATGTTCACCGTCTTCTCCCGTAAAATGTTAGTGATGATGACCGTCTTCTCCCGTAAAATGTTAGTGATGATCCCCACCTTCTCTCGTAAAATGTTAGTGATGTTCACCGTCTTCTCCCGTAAAATGTTAGTGATGATGACCGTCTTCTCCCGTAAAATGTTAGTGATGATCACTGTCTTCTCCCGTAAAATGTTAGTGATGATCCCCACCTTCTCTCGTAAAATGTTAGTGATGTTCACCGTCTTCTCCCGTAAAATGTTAGTGGTGATGACCGTCTTCTCCCGTAAAATGTTAGTGATGTTCACCGTCTTCTCCCGTAAAATGTTAGTGATGATCACCGTCTTCTCCCGTAAAATGTTAGTGATGATCACTGTCTTCTCCCGTAAAATGTTAGTGATGATCCCCACCTTCTCCCGTAAAATGTTAGTGATGATCCCCACCTTCTCCCGTAAAATGTTAGTGATGATCACTGTCTTCTCCCGTAAAATGTTAGTGATGATCACCGTCTTCTCCCGTAAAATGTTAGTGATGATCCCCACCTTCTCCCGTAAAATGTTAGTGATGATCACTGTCTTCTCCCGTAAAATGTTAGTGATGTTCACCGTCTTCTCCCTTAAAATGTTAGTGATGATCACTGTCTTCTCCCGTAAAATGTTAGTGATGATCACTGTCTTCTCCCGTAAAATGTTAGTGATGATGACCGTCTTCTCCCTTAAAATGTTAGTGATGATCACTGTCTTCTCCCGTAAAATGTTAGTGATGATCACCGTCTTCTCCCGTAAAATGTTAGTGATGATCACTGTCTTCTCCCGTAAAATGTTAGTGGTGATGACCGTCTTCTCCCGTAAAATGTTAGTGATGATCACCGTCTTCTCCCGTAAAATGTTAGTGATGATCACTGTCTTCTCTCGTAAAATGTTAGTGATGATCACCGTCTTCTCGCGTAAAATGTTAGTGATGATCACTGTCTTCTCCCGTAAAATGTTAGTGATGATCACCGTCTTCTTTCGTAAAATGTTAGTGATGATCACCGTCTTCTCCCTTAAAATGTTAGTGATGATGACCGTCTTCTCCCGTAAAATGTTAGTGATGATGACCGTCTTCTCGCGTAAAATGTTAGTGATGATCCCCACCTTCTCCCGTAAAATGTTAGTGATGATCCCCACCTTCTCCCGTAAAATGTTAGTGATGATCCCCACCTTCTCTCGTAAAATGTTAGTGATGATCACCGTCTTCTCCTGTAAAATGTTAGTGATGATCCCCACCTTCTCTCGTAAAATGTTAGTGATGATTACCGTCTTCTCCCGTAAAATGTTAGTGATGATCACCGTCTTCTCCCGTAAAATGTTAGTGATGTTCACCGTCTTCTCCCGTAAAATGTTAGTGATGATTACCGTCTTCTCCCGTAAAATGTTAGTGATGATTACCGTCTTCTCCCGTAAAATGTTAGTGATGATATTACCGTCTTCTCGCGTAAAATGTTAGTGATGATCCCCACCTTCTCCCGTAAAATGTTAGTGATGATCCCCACCTTCTCTCGTAAAATGTTAGTGATGTTCACCGTCTTCTCCCGTAAAATGTTAGTGATGATCACCGTCTTCTCCCGTAAAATGTTAGTGATGATCACTGTCTTCTCCCGTAAAATGTTAGTGATGATCGTAAAATGTTAGTGATGATCACTGTCTTCTCCCGTAAAATGTTAGTGATGATCACCGTCTTCTCCCGTAAAATGTTAGTGATGATCCCCACCTTCTCCCGTAAAATGTTAGTGATGATCACTGTCTTCTCCCGTAAAATGTTAGTGATGTTCACCGTCTTCTCCCTTAAA